GGCTTGAAATTTGAATTTGGAGGCAAAATGAAGATCAAATGGTGATTAGTGAAGGTATGTGGTGAAAATTAATTGTGATGAAGTTGGTGAATTAAAATAAAGTGATCTAAATATTTTTGAAAATTGGTGTCAAAATTCGGTCGAATTTGAATTTGCCTCATTTTCACACACAAAAAACGCATTGGTTAATCGATTAACCATTTGCATGTGCAAATGTGTTAATCGATTAACATAGTGAAAATTTGTGAAAATTTACCTTTTTGATGTGTTGTCTTGGTTCTGTCTCGATTCTTCTGATTTGTCAAAGGAGACATGAAAATAAACATATGAACCTTGGAGTCTCTTTGAATAATAGTCAATCAAATCTTGAGAAATTCTTGATCAAATAATTTTGAATTATTCGCAGATCAACTTTAAATTTGTTTAGATGAAATTTATTCTAACCAAGGGATTGTTGATTGATATTCTTGATTCAAACCTATTCCTGAAAAAGTTAATAAAGAAAAAAAAAACAAACATATTTTTAGTATTTTGATTAAAGGTTAGTAAACATAAACATATAAATAAAAGCAAACAAGAAACAAACAGATGCTCAGTGATCTTTGTAAAGTATAAACCCAAAAATGAGAGGGATAGAGGAAGCAAAGTATAATTTTGTTTGTGATGCAAAGATGCAAATGAGATAAAAAAATTTTAAGGATAAAAGTTAGGATAAACAACTTTGGCAGCAGCATGTTCTGCCTCTTTTATATTGTTAAAAAATGTTGGAATGATGTCCCACCAATAACATGAGTAGCCTTATAGCGAATGACATTAGGTAGCCCCTGAGTTATAATTGTAAAAACAAATTGGTCGAGATTGTTCTTTCGAACATAGTTTTGCAACTGATTGTTTGCACAAACGATCCGTCTCTGAAAGAATGAGTGCATTACTTTTGTTAAATAATATTTAAATAGAAAAGAATAGTAACAAGATTTTCAAAGATTGGAGACACATTAGTGAATAAAGTGAAAGAAATTGTTTACCGGTCATTATAACTGGAGTCTCTTGAGGTTTGGCAGCTCCAACTTCCTCGGTTGGTGTTGAAGAGGCTAGATGGAAATCATGAACCACAAACATTAGAGTAAAGTTGTATAAATATAGACAATATCTTCTACCATGTGAATTGAGCTGACGTAATTGTAAATGGAAAATATACAATAAAAACTTCCTATATGAAGCTCAAACAGAAAACTCATTTCAAAACACCAAAAGTGTGGCAACTACAAGACCATCATGATCCCAGACAAGAATACAAAAATTAGAACCTTTTATTTTTTGGACATAAAAGCTATTCTGTATTTGTTTATCATAAATAAATCACTTTTATGAAAAATATATCAGTTATGGAAAATAATGTTTTAAAGTTGCCAGTCAACAGTTTCCAATTTAAAACATTTTAAAACTTTCTTCAAGTTCTCACTTTTAAAATTAAAAAGTGATATTTCATAAAAGTTTTGGTCATAAAGAAAACTGATTTTCAAAGCAAGATTTAAAAAACAAACATATTTTGAGGAACCAAAGCAAACTCAAAAAGGGAAAGAAGTAGAGTACCAGATGAAGGAGAAGTGAAGTTGAGAAACGCTCTCATAGCAGCTTGGTTTTGAGCTTCTTTGGTTGAATTCAAAGTATCATAAGAAGTAAAAGTGATACTGTTAACAAGAACAGAAGCCTTTGGCAAACTCCACCTTTTCTGGTGGTATAGCTCTTGTAGCTGTGTCTTGTACATTTTCACTCTTACTCTCCTTCCTTCTATAACTACAAACGTGAAGATAGAGTGAAAATGAAAAAGTAAAATGAATGTGAACTATATGTATGATATATTGGTTAAAAATACATTATATGATATACGGTTGCATGCAGAGAAAATGCCTTTGGCGTGAAGGGCCGAGAAAAAGTGGACAGTTCTTACAAGGAAGATAATGTTGGTACTTTTGTGCAAGCCTATTTTGTTGTTTTGTGTATTTTTGTCTTGTGGTAGTTTATAGGATTTGGAAAACAAGTACTATCATACCATAATGGTTCTGCAGAGTTCTCTGCAACAAGATTTTAATAGACAGATAGTACGATATTATGATCTTGTAGCAGACAATGGTGTCTACAATTCAAACTGTGATTTAGCCTTCACAAAAATGGTAACAAAATTGCAGATACTTAAAAAAGTAAAATTGACCTTATGCTAAAAATGGGAGTTTTTTTTATCATAGACATGTTCTTCAAGACCAAAGAAACATCTTAAAGATAGACAAATAGTTAATTTTCATTTAATACTTCTATAAATTTAAATTTGTTAAATTATGAATACCCCTAAACTAATTATTTCTAACTCCACTCCTACCTTCTCTCGCAATAAATGAATGTGAAGATGATATTTACGGTACCATTTGAGTTAGTCAATGTTTCTTATAAATGGACCCTTTTGTTTCTCAGATAAAAAGATAGAGGGAGAATTTAGTTTTAACATATCTATAGAGATTTTTTAGCCAAAAAATAATCAACTTGAGTTTTAGACTTAAACTCTTGAATAACATCTATAACAATAAGAAGGTTCATTGTAAATAAGTATTTTTACTACTATTAATAGTAATCTATATTTGGGTTTTTAATTTATTATTTAAGTTTATTAAATTAGAATAGTCTTATATAAAGAGATTAGTGTTTGTAATTTTAATATACTTAAAATATATTATTCAGTTTTAAATATAATATCACGAGTTCTTGTTCGAGAAGATTCAACTTCTGCATTAAAAAAAAATCTAGCTGTTTTAATTGCAGTTCTTTTTTCAAAATTCTAGTTGTCTTAATTGCGGTTCATTTTTCAAAACCATAATTGCCGCCATTGCGAATCTTTTCACAAAACCCTATATGCCATCATTGTGGGGATATTAGGTCTGTAAACATTGTTCATCCGAGAAACGGTTTATTAACAGAAAACACTGTTCAAACCACAGTAATGTTCGGCGCAACACTATTTATCGCAGAGTATTGTTCACCGCCAAAAGGGTTACAAATGTTATTATCCACCATCTAATAAACACTTTATCTCTCGAGATGTCACCTTCCATGAACAAGAAAATCACTTCCTTGACACTCATCTTCAGGGGGAGAATATAAGTTAGGAAAATGAGTCCTCTCGACTTCCTGACCTTACTTTCGAACCGAAAGTTGAAACTGAAACTAGTGGTGACAATGTTGAGATTGAACTTGATTCTAGAAAAAAAGTAAATATTAAAACTGATGTAAGATTTGGAAAGAATTTAATATATACAAGAAAGAAAAACATTCATGATTCTATTCATATCCAAGAATCCAATCTGACATTACATGAGATAATTTCTCCTGACTCGTCAAGCACTAGTGATTCATTTTTTAAATTTTTTCATGAACAAGAAACAAAATCTAACTCAGTACTACCACCTCACTACAAGGATTTATATCTTCTAGTTGCCCTTAGAAAAGATACCAGAAAATGTACTACAAAGTTACTTTACCCTATATCCAACTACCTGTGTTTTGAACATTTTTTATCCACCTATAAAGCATTTCTACAAATCTAAACACTATAACAATACCTAACTCTTTATCTGAGGCATTGTCTGACAGGAAATGAAAACAGACCATGGACTTGGAGATGGAGACACTGAATAAGAACAATACTTGGAAATTGGTTTCTTTGCCAAATGAAAAGAAACTTGTAGGATGCATATGGGTATACAGTGTAAAATACAAGGCTGGTGGATTTATTGAGGTACAAGGCAAGATTGGTTGCCAAAGGATTCACCCAGGCTTATGGAGTAGATTACTTAGAGACATTTGTTCCAGTTTCTAATGAATATTGTAAGGCCGATATTATTTTTAACAGCTAATTAGAATTGTAATTTACATCAATTTGATATGAAAAATATCTTCTTTCATGGAGAATTTGATGAAGAGATCTATATGGATGTACCCCTAGATATTGTGAACTTACTGCCACCAACATTGTGTGCAAATTAAAAAAAGGCTTTATATGGATTTAAACAATCACCACGGGCATGGTTTGGAAGATTCACCAATGTTACGATAGGTTTGGACTTTAAGCAAAGTCAAAGAGATCATACTCTATTTATCAAACATTCTGAGACTGGGGAATTAACAGTTTTATTGGTGTATGTGGATGACATTATAGTAACAGGTGATGATGAGAATGAGCAACAATTGTTAGGCGAACACTTAGCCAAGGAGTTCAAGATTACGACCTTGAAAAAATTGAAGTACTTTCTAGAAAATGAAGTTGCCCACTCTAAGAAAGGAATCTTCATATTTCAACAAAAATATGTTACTGATCTTCTATAAGAAACTGGTAAGACAACATGCAGACATGCAAGTACACCAATTGATTCAAATGTGAAGTTGGAAAACGCAAAAGAAAATATTTCAGTTGATAAGAGAATGTATCAAAGATTAGTCGAAAAGCTTATATTCCTATCACATACTAGACCAGATGTTGCTTTTGCTGTAAGCTTAATCAGCCAATTCATGCACCGACCAAAGGAGATTCATTTACAAGTTGCGCTCCGAATTGTACAATATTTAAAAAGAACTCCAGATAAAAGAATTTTGTTTGAACAAAATGGAAATGTGAGTCTTGAAGCATATAGGAATGCTGACTATGCAGGATCGGTTGTGGGCCAACTAGTTATTATATTTTCTTTTTCTAAGAAAAACGTACTGTAAAATGCAAACCGACAATTGGTACAAGTTTTCCAACAAAATATATAAGAAAAACTCAAAATAGATAATTTAACTTATTCACATACTGTAAGTGCAAACCTACAATTGAAAGAGCATAAAAGAGCATCGTGTTTGAGAACAACGGACAAAATCTTATCAAAATATTATTCCAAACATAAAGCATTCAGTTTTCCAACTGGAGCATGTTCTCTCACATAGATAGATGACTCTGTTGTCTCATCACCAACTCATTTGGTACTAGTTAGTTGTTTGCGGATGAGCTTGACAGCATCAACCAGGTTGGTGAGGGCGGGCTTAACCTCGGTGTATTTTCGCGTTTTAAGGCCACAATCAGGGTTGACCCAGAGGATGTTGCTTTCAAGGACTGCAAGCATCTTGTTGATTCTGTCAGCAATTTCTTCGGTGGGTGGAATTCTTGGTGAGTGAATATCATAAACACCAGGACCAATGCCAGCACCATATTTAACTCCCTCGCGGAAGACAGATAGTAACTTCTCATCTGATCGAGAATTCTCAATGGTGATAACATCTGCATCCATATCGATGATCGAGTGAATGATGTCGTTGAAGTTTGAGTAACACATGTGAGTGTGAATCTGCCAAGAGCAAGACATAGTAAAATTAATACAGGCTCGGTAAAAAAAACTGTGCAATCATTAGTGAAGTTAGAGCCAATGAAGTGAAGCTGAACCTGAGTGGTGTCTTGCACACCACAGTTTGTAATCCTAAATGAGTGAACTGCCCAGTTTAGATAGAAAGCCTCCTCAGATTTCCGTAGGGGCAAGCCTTCTCTTAAAGCAGCCTCATCGATTTGGATGACGGTAATGCCAGCTTTCTCAAGATCCTCAACCTCATCCTTTATAGCCAAAGCAATCTGGTAGCAAGTCTCAAACCTAATAATAAATAGACAATATTAAATGAAACTGATATACTGCAAAATGATCATCATTTATAAGGTGATTTTGCATACCTAGGTTGGTCATCTCTAACAAAGGACCAGTTCAGAATAGTAACAGGGCCAGTAAGCATTCCCTTCATAGGTCGTTTTGTCAAACTTTGAGCTGTCGAAGACCAGAAAACAGTCATTGGCTTGGGACGGCTCACATCACCATAGATGATCGGTGGCTTGACACAGCGGGATCCATAGGATTGCACCCACCCATTGGCAGTGAAAGCAAAGCCAGATAATTGTTCTCCAAAGTACTCAACCATGTCATTCCTCTGAATTGGCACCAAAAAAAATCAACTTATAAATATTTATAATTTGAACTGTATTTTCACACAAGAAATAAGCCTCCATTAAACCACTAAATAAATAACATATATCAGCTCCATACCTCGGGCTCTCCATGCACCAAGACATCAATGTCGAGCTCTTCCTGGATCTTAACAACATTAATAATTTCCTCTTTAATGAAAGTGATATAATCCTCCTCGGAGATCCTATTCATAAAGTGACATATAGCAGGTTAAGTGTTAAAATGTGATAATCATGGAATATGATAGATAGCTGAAGAAAAAGAAGACTTTTGCTTACTTTTTGGCCTTGAACTCACGGCGAACCCTTCTAAGATCTGCAGTCTGAGGGAAAGATCCAATTGTAGTGGTTGGAAGAATAGGAAGATTCAATTTCTTCTGTTGTGCACTCAATCTGGAACTAACATTAGTGGCCCTACGGTGATCAGAGCCCTTAAGAGCAGCAGCCTGAGAAAAGAAATCAACATTTAAGAGTAATCCAACTAGCTTATAGTTTATCAAATACAGGAATAACATAATCGAAATCCAGAAGAGCACTAACAGCCTTTTGGACAGCCTCATTTGTCACCCTTGGGGAGGACTTCCTTGAAGCCAAAGCGGAAGCATTGGAAGAAAAGTAAGCCTGCGAAACAACACGGATTAAGAAGCTGAAAAATAATGAGTATGAGTCAAAACATCCTTAGAGTGTATGATGTACCTCATCCTTTTGTCCAGACAATGCCTTGGCCAAGGCATTTACTTCAACTATTTTCTGTGCTGCAAATGCAAGCCAAGACTTAATCTCTTGGTCCAGCTTCGTCTCATTCACCAGATCAACTGCAGTGTGAAGAAGAGAACAGGATGTGGAAACCACAACTTTCTCTGCAGAAGAAAATTATAATTCACATTTAGGTTGTTGCACGTTGAATATATACATGCACCAACCGAAAAAAGACATTAAATATTAAATACCCTTTCCAACAATGTCCCCAAGTGTCTGCAAGGTGTTTAGCGAAGATTCAAGATTATTAGCCCAAATATTTCTTCCATCAACAACACCGGCAAAAAGAAGTTTTCCAGATGGAAATCCTTGCTTGATCAAATCAAGGGTCTTTGTTCCACGAACAAGGTCAAACCCATATGCAGTAACAGCCTTCAAAGAGGTGAGTGTTTTGTACGCTTCAGCTGGGACATCAGCAAAGTATGTCTCAATCAGAACATCCAAACCAGATAAAGTAGATTCTAGCTCTGCATAAGCATAATCAAATGCTTGTAACTGGTGAGCATCCAGATCCTTGACAAGGGTAGGTTCATCAAATTGAATCCAAGTAGCACCAGCCGCCTTCAGTTCCGTCACCACTTGCCTATGAAAAATCACAGTATGATTAAAATTTTAAACAACTTAAATTCATGATTCAAAAACACATCACTACATTAAGGCCTTACTTGTATACAGGAAGGATCTTGTCAATTAGGGAAAGAAGGGAAAATGACTTTTCAACACCCTTAGCTGGTTTTGACAGCAACAAGTAGGATACTGGCCCCACAAGTACAGGTACGGTATTCACTCCTAGCTGCATAGAACAAGAATACATTGTATAAACATTATTATGGTATAAATAATTCAAAACAAAAGTCTCTTGTAATAAACATTCTTCCCAGGTTTCAATCTTCTTTAGTATATCATAGGCTGGGTAGTGAAGATTCTTCCAAGACCAGAGTATTCACTAATTATTTTTTTAAATAAATTAAATTAAATCAAAGATACTTAGGCTAAAGTAAGTTTGAAACTTACAGCTTTGGCCTCCTTGTATTCATCCACCGCTTTGTGTGATGCATAGGAGAACTTAACATTTGGACCCAATTCAGGAACAATGAAATGGCTGCACCATAATAGATTTTGATTTTGTTATTACTATGATAAATATCAAACCAAATTGCCAATTCAACTTGTACCTAAATATTAAAATGAAATACAGTAAATATATACATATATTTAAGTTATTTCAAATTACTATTATCTTTGGTATAGTTATGCATCAAAATCTCCATTCATACATTAACCTAGGTGGTATCAAACTTAAAATATCTATGTATAACTTGAAAATTAAGAAAACGTTTTTGAGGTGGGTTACTTACTAGTTGGTGTCAAACCACTTGGTCATTTCCATAGCTGGCACAGATGCATTTCCTCTAGCCATGGAGAAGTAAACATCAAAGCCAATCTCTCCACCTTTCCAATTATATCTGTCAGGAACTGCACCGACCATGGCTGTAGTGTCCAATACTTGATCATAGTATGAGAAGGTGTTGCTTGGTATATGCTGAATTCCAGCATCGGCCATCTGCTTCCAGATGGCTGACCTAAGGTTAGCAGCAACCTGCTTCAGTTCCTCAGCACTACTCTTTCCATCCCAGAATGATTCCAGAGCAAACTTAAGCTCCCTCTTTGGTCCCATGCGGGGATAACCAACAATATGGGATGTCATTGCTCTGTTATTTCAGATACACAATTTGAACGTATCATTCAACCAACTCAAATATGTTTCTACCAAATCTACTACACATTTGTAAAATGATGGTAAAATCAGTGAGAATATGACTATCACTGTTCATAGAAACTTGGGGGTTCAGCACAGCCATATAAATCCATGAAACACGAGATTCATTAAGAAAACAGGTGAAAATCAAACCATAGGCACAGTACAGTAGTTTGAATGTATATTACTTCTGTAAGAACAAAACTGAACAATGTCTTATTTTATGAATCAGCTCTGCCAAAAGCTTAAGCTGTTAGATAAAGACACACATGATACTTTTAGTATTATATTTTTAACATGTCTTTTTACATGGCCCTCTGTGCTTGAAGCAAGGACAATGCACAAGCCTCCTAACCCTGAGCTAAAGTAACCAAATCTCAAAAAATTCATTTATGACTGAACATCAACTTTTGCCATCACCAGATCATAAAGGTATGCTTTCTATTATATAGTATACATTTAAATATCAGAATGTTGACAGTATATGAACAAATTACATTTGACTTCTCTTAAGCGAGTAGCTCACTGTAAGGAAAAGTAAGACTTTTCAATCATTGATCAAAAGTCATCGGATAATTTAGTATGCACATGGTACATGCATAACATATTATAGTAGATTTGTCAAAACCAATAAAGCGCAGACACCGGAAACACGACACCAAACACATTGACACCGATAATAATTTGGAAAAAAGAATACATCTTACGTAATCACAAGTAACAGTGTCAGTTTCAGACACCGGCACTTTTCAGAGGTGTCAGTGTTACATAGATCAAAACCCGCAGCCTTGATTCTCACATTAACATGTAATGGTTAAATACCTCACTTTTATTTCCAACGTGAATTACTAGTTACTTTAGGGTAGTCAAATCGTAATCAATAGAAATGAAAACTAAGCATTTACAATTACACATATCTTATATGAAATTGAATTATTGAATACACAACAACTTAAAACTTAAACCTTTCTATTGAATTCAATTAAAGTTCCTAAACAACAACCTCAGAGTCTCCATTTCATCAACCTATTATCCAAAATAGTTCTCGATTGAAACTTAAATTCAATCATAACATATTAAAAGCTAAAAATCATAAATAACTACTACTAGTAGAATTCTCAATCAACCCAAATTCAAAACTTTAACTACTCAAGTGCAAAAGAAAAACAGAACAAAAGGGTACCCATGCATCATGTTGAAAAAAACATAACAGAGCGAGAATAAAGTTACCAACTTTTACACAGAATAAACAACAAGTCTTATTGTGTATGAAGTTATGAGAGAAAGAGGAAAAAAACCTAGATGAAGTAGCGCGAACAGAGAAGCGAAGAAAGGAGCGTGGTGAGTGGTGATGAGAGAAAGAGAGAGAAGAGAGCGAGAATGTGAACGGCGTCGTCAGACACTGAAAGGATACTTTGTTCATTTATTATACGCAACCAACCAGCCTTTACTCTACTGTATCTTGCTTTGCCTTCTCAATTTCAGCTTCTACTCTTTTTGTCTTTTTTCTTTCTTTCTTAATTACAATTTTTAATCCCCTATTTTTGCTTTTATTGAAAATTAGTCTTCTATTTTAAATTTAAATAATTTCTCGATTAGAAATTGATATTCTATTTTCAATTTAAATAATTTTGGTATTTAATAGTTTTAGTTTTTTCACCTACTTTTTCATTTAAAATTAACTGTGTTTTTATTTTTTAAATAATAACTTATTTATAAAACATAATTAATTATCGTATATAAATTTATTATTAAATTTTTGTAGATAAAAATATTATTTAAAAAACAAAAATTTCATCAATTTTATATGAAAAAAATATGTGAAGAGGGCTAAAACTGTGTGAATTTAAAATAGAGGATCAAAATTAATTAAATTTAAAATATGATGACTAATGGCGTTACTCAAAGAAAACGTTGGGGATTATTTGAGGAATTGAGAGGCATTGATAAGGGAGAAATGTCGTAAATCTTCAACTTATTTGATTTGGTATGCAACTTGTTATTGTATTTAGAAGATGTAAAACCAAATAATTTTCAAATGTGTCATAGATAATATGGAGGTGGTGGTGGAGAGGACTATAGCAATGGTCGTGGCTAACTCTTTTGCATAAAGATTCTTATCGGTGTAATTTATAGGAGTGGTATAAACTATAAAGTTCCTACAGATTACTTGTAGGGTTTTTTGTTGTTTTATTTTGAAAGTCGATAGGATTTCTATCTTGTAATTAGGGTTGGAACACCCCTAGTGTTTCCTATAATTATAGGTTTTATTTATAAAAAAAAATAAGAGAACCAAAATTATAATTTAATTTTTTTACCATTTTTTTTTGTCTTTTCTTTATTAGGATTATTAGGTGAAGATGCAAATAAGTCCCTCGCCCCAACTTACTACTAATTATAACAATTAGATTAAATAAGTTCACACGACATTATTGCATTAGATTTTGGTACCTTTCATTCCTTTCTATTAGGGTCATGCTTGGTTCATTTTCTCATTATTAGGCAATACTTCTATTAACTTTTGCTTCTCTATTAATTCTTCAACAACCACATTTACAATTTAGTATATGGACAATTATTTTTTTAAAAATCAAAACAATATATTAAAACATAAGGCATGAAACATACCTCAAACTAATTACAAAGTTTAGCCTAGCATTCTCATCACAACAAATGCAAGTAATGCCACATAAACATACATAAAACACCCCAACCACTGATAATACCAATCAAACAACATACCAAGACTATTGACTCCTTACACACCCTATGTGATCCCTCAAACAAATATCTACCCAACCTAATAACACCAATACAAAGGCATGCCTAAAACACACTAACAGTCTTGACCAAAGATGGTATACCCCTGATATTAACTTAAAAACATATTTCACTTAGCCAAGACATTTGCTACCAGTAGGCCAACCCCGAGTCAACTCAGATGAAAACACCGGTTTGTCAACACTATGTGCCCACGCAATACCGTTGCTACCTCTACCTCATTACAAAAGAATAGGCATGGATGATGCGCCAAAAATCTAATTAGACGCCTCATTGCAAAAGATGCCATACTCTTAGCCATTGTCTTCATCTTTTTGGATCCAATAGAATTCTAGTGTTATATATCCCACCAAAACTGCAATCATATGCCACCACGAGTGTTGACAAGCTCGATTGTTGAATCTGTTGCTCCTAAATCACCACCATGAGTTGTGACATATCTAACATTCTTCACGATAAATGTTGGAACTGCTCCTAGGCCGAAGCAGTTTGTTTCGGCCTCTAGACCTTGTCGCCTAGCATAAGATCAACCTACAACAAACCATATATTCTACTGATACAATAGCCATTGTAGACCAGGCTGTTATTAGGATTTGAGAGCCATTTATTGATGTTGTAACATTGATTTCTATTGTACTCCAATCTGTTTGCTTTAAACTGATATTGTACCATTATCTCGATCAACACCGGTCCATGCACCCAAGGCAGAATCTAGGATTTCAATACCATTTACTGATAATGTACTCCAATCTGTTTGCTTTAAATCTCAACCAGTTTCAAGACATTCTTTTCACTATCTCGACTACCTGTTCAACATTGACTCCCTTGTTGTTGAATAACTTGTCATTTCGCGTCTTCCAAATGCTCCAAATCCCCATTGGCCAAATTACTTTGAGTTTGCTAGTGAAAATTCGCCCACCTCTAACCAATCCTTCAAATTGTTATAGGTGCGGAAAATCTTCATTTTGAAACGTTGCATGAGTCCCAAGCCATCTACTAATCCTGCACCAAATGCCTGCAAACACAAGACACTAAAAAAAGAGGTGATAAATTATCTCTTCTGCCCCCCACATTCCCCTACATAGTGAATAGCCCCTTGCTCAATTTTCCTTCTCCTATATAGTTCACTTTTGTAGCTACCAGCTTATTCTAAAGAATTTGCCACACAAAGCAAGATATTTTTATCGAAATTGAATTATGCCAAGTCTTTGTCAAGCACGGTTCAACCACCCCCTCCCTCCCCGACATAATTTTCTTGTACGCTTCCTTAACTGAAAATGTATTAACCGACTCGACTATTCTAGAATCTAAGAAATTTATGTCTTTCCACCCTATGAAGTTGTTATTATCCCCTCGACTAATATCTCCCTTGTAACACCCGAGTCCAAAGAGGATGGAAAATGGTTACATGTAACACCCAAGGGTGAGGGAGTGGTTGTCAGTGCATGAGGTATGATAATAAGACACTCCTAACAGCTTCTAGGGAAAAAAGGAATTCACATAGGAATAAGAGGGATCCTGAGATTGTGTAGGTATGAGACGACATGGTTATAAGGATTAATTGGTACTACCTATACCAACAAGATGTATCTTTTTCTGTATTTTGTTTCATAAGAACTCCATAGTTAAGCCTGCTTGACTTGGAGCAATTTTGGGATGGGTGACCTTCTGGAAAGTTTCTCGAAAAGTATGTGAGTGAGGACAAGGCATGCTGAAAAGACCCGTGTTGGTTTGAGGGGTCAGTCGATAATCCTGAAAGCGGTCTGGGGCGTTACATAATTGTATCAGAGTCATACATCTTCCAGTACAATGTGGTTCGAGGACAAACCAAGTGGAAGCTGGTGAGCATGTAACACCTGAGGCTGAAGAGAGCGGAAAGTGGTTACATGTAACCGCCAAGGGCGGGGGAGTGGTTGTCGGTGCACGAGGCATGACAATGAGACACTCCTAACAGCTTTTAGGAAAAAAGCGAATTCACATCAGAATGAGAGGGATCTTACGACTGTGCAAGTACAGGAGTGCATAGTTGAAGGAAGGCTTATAAGGACTAATTGGTACTACATATACCAATAAGATGCATCTTCTTTTTGGTATCCCATTTCATAAGAACTCCACAGTTAAGCATGTTTCACTTGGAGCAATTTTGGGATGGGTGAGCTTCTGGGAAGTTTCTTGAAAAGTGTGTGAGTGAGGACAAGACATGTTGAAAAGACTCGTGTTGGTTTGTGAGGTCAGTCAATAATCTTGAAAGGAGTCTGGGGCGTTACGTCCATCACTGACCTTATATTGATTAGCCAATGTTCTGTACCACAATCCTTCATTTTCTGAGCTGGTTTTCCAATCCGATTTGCATTAAAGGCATTGTGGAATCCCTTCAAATTTATTATACCCAGTCCCCCCTCGTCTATAGGTCTACGTACCTTTTTCTATTTCACTCAATTTATTTTCCTCTCATCCTCGATACTTCCCAAAAGAAATTGTTTAAAAATATATTCTAGTTTAGATATGATACATGTCAAAGCTTTGAAAAAAAAAGAGAAAATATACTGGAATAATTGACTTTTAACAATCACCCTACCTTTAATGGAAAATTTCTTATGCATCCAACTCAAGAGCCTGACTTACACTACGGTTGGAATTACATCAAACCTATTGAGCATTCTGAATTAATTTTGATGACAAGAATTAATATTTTTGATCGATTTCTCCTATTATTTTTCACTCTTCACTCGAGTGAACCAACCAACCTTGATTGCAAGATGATTTTGCTACACAATGATTATTGAAGAAGAAAAGAAAAGATGAATTGGAGAAGAAAGGAAATTAGGGTTTAAGAGAAAAGAGGAAGAAGAAGAAAAATTTATGCAGAGTCTCCCTCTACCTTTAAACTGAAGTTTATTCAATCTTTTCATATGCAACTGTATTACAATAATGATAGGGTAGCTCCTTATTTATATGTTGAGATTGCTTGCACACCAATAAATCTCCAACTAACCTAACTAATTCAGGTAAAACAAACAAATAAAGTTAAGTCAAAACTTTGTTGAGAAACACTTCTTCGACATTTCAACATCTAAGTGTTTCGACATCTCCTTGTTTCTGTCGAGCAACATGCTTCGACACAAAAAGTTACATTCTCAACAACTACATCAATTACCGGTTGCCACGTAGCAATTCTCTTATAGTTTGCTCCAATTGGAAGTCATTTGTATTTAAAATGAATGTTTTCCACTTTACAGTTTAATATGTTTGTCGCTGCAATTCAATTATGTGCTATGTTGACACTTATCAATAGACTTTTATAAAAGTTGACGATTAAACTCGACATTAGTTCGAACAACTTTAGATTTGTCTTTATATTACGATGCCATATTTAACTATCTCAAATTAAAAAATACATTAGTGGAAGATGATCTAGTCTCTGAAAAAGTGGAAAAAATGATAACAGGAGAGAAAAGTGGTAGGGCAAGGATTGTGTGTATATCCATTTATATTTTGGGAATGTTTGTTTTAACTTTAAAATAATAGATTTTTTTATATTTTTAAAAATAAATTTTATAAAATTGTTTTTTAAAATATTATAAGCTTTTTTATATTTGTTTTTTTTAATTGAAAAATTAATTTTGATATTTTATAACATAG